TAAACCCCAAAGCCTAAATCCTAAACTCCAAACCGTGAATCCTGAGCCTCCAAGAAGCCTGTTCGGTTTAACATGAAGACTTTTGCCGGCGACCCAAGGCCCTGGTTCCTACAACGGTTTAGGGTTTAGGGTTTAAATAGGGTTTAGGGTGTAGGGTTTAGGGTCTAGGGTTTGGGCCCGCAGAACCCAAGAACCCGTAATTCGGCAGTCTACTGTTGGGGCCGAAATGATTACCTATACTATTTTGCGGGCTCCTTATTACAATTACAGTATAACGGGCCCCGAAGCCCTAGTCTGATTATTAAGGCCTCTACATTAAACCTCTCCATTCTGCAGGGTTCAGGGTTTGGGGTTTCGGGTTTAGTCATTCTAAAGGGCTGTTTAAGTGAATTGAGTTGTTTAGGGTTTAGGGTGTAGGTCTGATGATGGTTTTTGGTACACGCCTTCTTTACGTCACCCCAAGGAGCTGTTGTGACCGAGGACGCTGCGGCGCATGGAGCAAAACCCATTCTGAGCAGCGGCTTGGGAGTACAGCCCACAGACTCCAAAACTCTTGAACGACACAGCATACCACTAACTATACATATACTTCATACATATGATTTGAGGTAGGTTCCTTGCCTAGCATCCTTAAACTGTACAGGATTGCTCGGATGATTGAAGGTGTATTTCGAAAGTGTCGAAAGTGGTTTTGGAGTCTCGAGGCTGGAGCCCTAGAGCGGTGCAGGGGTCCAGGGCGCTGCTATTGAAAGAGATGGATGCGGCAGAGCCAGAGCAAACCCTAAACCCTAAACCCTAGCTTTAGCAGCTATACTCTTGACGTCAGAGGTAGCAGTTGAAAACTGGGTGGAACTTATTACAAACTCCGTAGTAGCGTCGTTGTCTTCAAGCTCAGCCGTATAGACAAAACTCTAGACTCTAGACCCTGAACCGCCAGCTCTTGTTGAGAGGGTTGTGAAAAAGCTGGCAAGCAAGAGTTGACTTTGTGGATGCACACGCGTTTCTCGCAATGTTCTGCAAGGGATATAGGGGTTAATTGGCTCCATGAAGGGATTATAGTCATGATAGGGTTTCGTTAGGGTGGGCACAAGAGGGCTTTACAGCGTTTCAGCAAGTTTCCAGAAGGAGTTGCAAGTGTTCCATGAAGTGTTCTATGCAGGTTTCTAGCTGTGCTAATACAAATACATATATACACACACACACACCCACACACACATATATATATATATATATATACATATATATATATATATATGGGTCTCATTATAGGGTGTTAGGGTTCGATAGCGTTCAGGCTCGGGCTTCACATGCTCGGGTCCTCGTCCACGATTCGGTTTACGGTTGAGGTGTTAGTGTGCAGGCGTAAGGGTTCAACGGTTTAGGGTTTAGGGTTCAGGGTAAGATTTTGAGGCTGCTTCTAATGAAGGGGTTGACCTCCAGGTCAGCCTTACACCCGAAGCTCTCAACCCGAGCACGCCAACGCCGCAAGAGCCACAGTTTGTTGTGGTCACTACTACGTGCCTGTTTGAACGCGGGTTCACACAGTGGCCACATGGGACTTCTCAGTCGGAGCCTACATCGTTAAGGTAAGATGCGAACTCGTGGCTGTATTTCATTGAACAGGAACGCCGAATTCACGAGAAACCCGTACATCCCGAGAAAGTCTTTGCATGCTGCTAGTCCCCTTCCCTTTCTCACCACTCGTTTTTCGGATCAAATATGCCGCCGCGCAAGCATAAATTCATTTCCCACATGTGGGAGTTTCCGAAAATTAGGGTACCTTATTTGGGGTCCTTATAATAAGGATCCTACTATTTAGGGTAGGGTCCCCTATTTTCGGAAACCCCCATGTAAACCCCGACAGGAAGGCCTTCAGGAACTTCGACTGGACTTGGTGTCGACCTCGGCATAGCAGGATGGGGGTGGGTAGGAGCAAGGCGGAAGGGCATGCATGTGGGAGTTTCCGCAAATAGGGGACCCTAGTATAGTACCCTAAATAATAGCGTCCCTATTATAAGGACCCCAAAATAAGATACCCTAATTTTCGGAAACTCCCATGTTGGTGCTCTTTAAACTGCTTTAGGAGTCGAAGACTTCGCAATAATATCCCCTTGGACTCTCCATGCAGTCATACTGTTACAATATAGTACAAGATGGCCCCGAAAACCTTTTCTAGTTATTTCGGCCCCCAAATCCACAACTATAGAATTGGAGGGTTTTTTGGTGGTGCAAGGGTACCAGAAGGGCTGAAGGTTTTCTGGTTTAGGCCCTAGGGGGTTAAAGAGTTTACGGTTTCGAGTTGAGGGTTTTTATACGGGTATGCAGGTATTACAAGGGGTTATAGTTCTAAGGGCTCTACAGGCTCTCTTTGGTTTCATAAGGCCGTTACGAGGAGTTTCGGGGTTTCGGGTTCTACAGATCACTTTAAAGGAGCCCTTATGGATCCCTTGAAAGCCCATATAGAAGGAGCCCTCTAAACCCTAAACCTAACCCTAAACCCCTAACCCTAAACCCCAAACCCCAAACCCTAAACCCTAAAGCCTAAACCCTAAACCCCCTTATAGATCCCTTTTGAGGTATGGTGCCAGCAGTGTGCCGTTGTAGATCCCACATTCTTGCAGACGCCAAAGCCCAGGATCCCTCAACCCTACACCCCCAAGATCCTTGAGGCTTTCGGGTTTAGGGTTTAGGGTTTACTGGTTTAGGGTTTAGGGGTTTAGGGTTTAGGGGTTTAGGGGTTTAGGGGTTTTGGGGTTTAGGGATTCATGGATTTAGGGTTTAGGGATTTAGGGTTTAGGGATTTAGGGTTTAGGGTTTGGAGTTCAGGGTTCAGGGTTTAGGGCCTAGGGGTTCAGGGTTTAGGGGTTCAGGGTTTAGGGTTTAGGGGAAGTAGGTATAACGGTATAACAGTAGTTGTCTTACTTGTCGCTTACAGCCGAACTTACTACGTCCGATGATCCTTCGAGTAGGGTTTCGGCAACCCCAAGATGTTTCCGTTTAGGACTTCAGGGCTTGGGGTTATAAGTAGGGTTTTAAGTAGGGTAACTACAGTTATGACCTATATTGGGGGACTTATAAACCCACTAATAACTACTCATGAACCTCCAAGTAACTCTTAAGGATTGAGCCTGGAGGATTTCCCAAATTTTTGGGCTTCTACTGTGAGCGTCTACCCCGCCATCTTGGTTTTGGGGGTTGGCGGCTTTTTGGAGTTCGAATTACCTGGTACCCGTTCCCCAGAGAACCCGATATCCCTTAATTAAGGAATATACCTTAAATTATAGGGGCCTTGATATTATGATTTAAGGTATATTCCTTAATTAAGGGGTATTGGGTTCTCTGGGTCCTACACCCATCACCTTTCCGAATCCAGAATGAGGCATCACCGCCGCAAGAACCTGAGCCCTAAGACTCTAAAGCCCGAAGCCATC